GTAATCAACCTGCTGAAACATGGAGTCAAGATTCTCATCTCCTCCCTCGTCCTGGGACCCCTGCAAACACCATCACACCAAAATATATTCCCTTGGTGCAGCTTGAGGCTGTGTCCTCTGGTTCTGTCAGTTCCTGAAGAAAGAGCCCAACCCCACCTGAGCACAGGCACCTTTCAAGAGCTGTAGAGAGTGACAAGGTCACCCCTGAGTCTCCTTTTCTCCAGTCTAAACAACCCCAGCTTTTTCAACATTTTCCTACAGCCAAACAAAGCTTCGACCAGCACCATTGGGAAGAGATTGACTTTGGAGAATGTTTTCTCTGCAGTGATTCGTCAAGAACCCATCAGGAAGGAGCACTCACACTCTGCCAGCATTCCCACAGCTCTGCACTTCTTGAGGCGGCACTCCTGGCACTTCCTCCTCATGTACATGTCCATCTCGCAGTGCCCCCCGCTCTTGCAGCGGTACACCGCCTTCTTGGTGATGCTGCGCCGGAAGAAGCCTGCAACGAGCACCAGCTTGTGACAAACACGCTTACTTTCTTGGGAAAATGTAAAAAGATTAACAAAGGACAATAGGAGACAAGGATTATAGGCCAGGTGCATCTTGGCACTCATTTAAGACAACGCTGTTACTTGTGGGGATACCCCTTAAATACCTTTTCCCTTACATCAGCCTGTTGCATATTTATAGACTCTTATGTATATCTATAAACTAGTTTCCATTTTTCAGGGAGGATTTTACAAGGCTTCTCTTTGGGTCTGCTTTTTTAGAACATGTGTGGTTTTTGGCCGTCGTTTTAACTCTTTATCACATCCAGTTTGGGTCTTGGTCCACAGTGTCCTCAGATGGTGAGTGCTGACAGTTGGCAGACCTGTAAGGTGTCTTTATCTTATGTTCATTGGATGTTATCTTATTCAAGCAGGTATTTTAACACAAGTATATAGCTGTTATAATATATATAGTATAAGCTATGTAATATATATAGCATAAGCTATTATAATATAGATTATATTAGCTATATCATATAGATAGTATAAGCTATATAATATAGATATTATAAGCTATTATAATATATATAGTATATCCTACTATAATATAGCTTATATTAGCTATATAATATATATAGCATAAGCTATATCATATAGATAGTGTAAGCTATATCATATAGATAGTATAAGCTATTATAATATAGCTTATATTAGTTATATAATACATATAGTATAAGCTATTATAATATATATAGTATAAGCTATTATAATATAGCTTATATTGGCTATATAATATAGATAGTATAAGCTATATAATATATATAGTATTAGCTATTATAATATAGCTTATATCAGCTATTTCACTACTATGTCCAAGCTTAATTAACAACAGAAATAAACACTTTGTAGCAAAGTTACTTTAGCATCACACATATAAAATCCATTGTAATATTTGTGAAAAGCCAATTTTATAATATGTATCTATAAGAAGGTGATGGCTGGAGCAATCAAAGGAGCTTTATCTCATAAGGATTTAAAAGTGTCCTCCGGGTTTGAATGGTTGGGTTTTCTAAATGGAAAAGTTACCTTGATTTTAAATCTGCTTTTTAAAAACATAGTTATGTCTGGTCCTTTCTGACTGATATTAATTGACATTTTCCATACATGGAATCATAGAATATGCTGATTTGGAAGGGACCCACGAAGATCACCAAGTCCATCCCCTGGCACTGCACAGACACCCCAAATCCCAGCCTGTGCATCAATGAGAGCAGTGTTCAAATGCTGCTGGAGCTCTGGCAGCCTCAGGGTTGTGCCCATTCCCTGGGCAGCCTGGGCAGTGCCCAGCACCCTCTGAAGGAAGAATTTTTCCCTGATAATCCACCCCTGACACAGCTCCAGCCCTTCCCTCAGGTCCTGTGCCTGCTCACAGGGAGCAGAGATCAGAGCTGCCCCTCATGACACAGCTCCCATACCAACAATTAGCAAGTAATTACTATTTGCTTTTATTAAATTATAATAATAAGTGAAATTAATAAGACTGAAACAAATCTCTAAGAAGTGTTCATGAGAAAAGCAGCACGTGCTTACACTAACGCTATACTAATGATTCATCAATGCAAACAGGAGATGCTTACAGTGCTTGTATTAAACATAGACTGAAAATATTTCTTCAAAGAATATTATAAAAACGTGAATTTGGAGTGATGTTGTTAGGTAGGGGGTTCATTAGATAAATGAAAAGCCCCTGTGGTAACACCAGCTCAAATCTGAGGCCCCGCGTCCCCGCTCACCTTTGCAGCCCTCGCAGGTCAGCGCGTTGTAGTGATAGCC